TGTTCCGGCCCAAGCGGTTGCCTATCATCAGGGCACACAGGTGCCTGTCATCACCAGCATACAGGAGACCCTTCACAACRGTGCCAAGTCACCTAATCGGCGCATGGTCGCCTTCCATGATGGTTGTCCCTCTTTAGCACGTAAGCGGCGCCTCCCATGGACCGGTCTGAGCCAGGAGAGTGCCCCGGCCATTGGACTTGAGGTCATGATCCAGTGCTACTGACATTGGTGGAGCCATCCCATCGGGCAACTCCTAGCCTCTAAGCACAGAAAGGCTTGTCCTGGCCTGCCTTAGCTAGGACGCCGCACGGGTTTCTTCCGCTGTAGAACTACCCCCGTGACACCGTGGCAGTCCACTTACGGTAGAGACTAAGTGCTCAAATTGAACTTTTCTGTCTATTTATTTATTTATCAAAATAAGTAAACAATTATTAAAGTCCTTTAAGAATACAACGTGAAAATGCATTATCTTTCTTGTTACTGTTGTAAAAGGAAATCAAAGCCATCTTGTTTAAAAATAGATTATTTCTTAAAACAAAAACACAAAAAACATTCTTTTATGTGTTTTTGTCTTCAAAAATGAAACTAGCAAAACGTTCTTAATATGTTCTCATGATTATTCAACAGTTCCATATAATTTCTATATTAAAAAGAATGTTTTTTTTTTATATATTTGTTGATTTAAAAAACAGTACAAAGCGGAGTTCTAGAACATGCTTAACTTGTTTTCTTCTCTTTCAAAAACATGTTTTTGTTTTTTATTTTTTTGTATATTTTTATTTTTTGCTGATGTATATATTTGTTTTATCTGGCTGATGTGCATTGTAAGGTGCTGCTCAGAACATCACGTCCCCGGACTATAGCAACCCTCTCCATTCCCTAATCCCTATTCGTCATTTAAGGTACCCAACTGAATTTACCAGTTCTACCTTCTACGTATTCCCAATTGGGGTCCCTTACAAGCAAATAAAGGCAATTGTCATCCTCATCCAGTTTATGTTAAGTGAGCACCACGAACGATCCCACCCTGAGCTCAGGCGAACTGAATCATTAAGTCGGTACATTACGTACCGCAGCAACGAATGCTTGTAAGGTTGCAGATCGATCCCAGAAGGATTCAGCCTTTCTAGCACAAATGTGGGTTGACTGGATTCCGAAAACTCACTTCACCGGTAGCAACCCTCTTCTTGGTTTACTTTTAACTCAGATAGAAGCAGGCGGCTGGGAAATTGAACCCTACCACACGCAAAGGGAGAGGGAGAGAGAGAGAGAGATTTAACGTAACATTAGTCGTCTATTAGAGCCGATCGACACTTGTAAAAGTAAAAACAACCCATTACGCAGTAGAGAAAGACTACAGCAGCAGAGCCAAAACAACGTGCATATAGCCTCTCTCGCGAAACCCACAAGACACAACACAGACGTATTAGGCTACTAAAGTACTAGCATCTTCCTACACCTACTAAACTACTTCTGCAACTAGATACATTAACAGTAAACACACAACACAACCAAGGACACTATCTAGCGGTTCTTAGTGAACTTGGACTCATCGATGTCGATCCCCTCCTCTGCTGCACGCTCCCCGCCAGATTGGTCCATGGTGCTGAGTCCACCCTTTCGGCCCATCTCCTGATATCCTTCCGTGCCTAGCTGCTGCTTTCTTGTCTGCCCTCCACGGCTCCTTCCTGTGGACGAGTGTAAATGCATGGTTATCAGTAGTACAACCCACCCAGACAGCCACACACAATAAGGGAATTTTCAAAAAACCATGTGCACCCATTCATTTTCTCATGTTTGAAGACAGATAGAGTGCCCAGAGTACACTTGAGATTTCCTATTCACGGCGGGTAGAGAGTGGGTAGGAAATCTTGGCTCCCCAGAGTAAGTCTTGTTAGCGGAAGATTCGAACTCAACCAGCAAGTAGTAGTAGAGAAAAACATAAACAAGAATAATTAATTTAGTTTTGATCGTTAAACAGACAGACAGACAGACAAAAAAGAAAAGAAAGCAAATAACAAGAATAAACCATCGGCTAGATGCTCCTGCGCTTCGAGGCTCTTTCCTCCAGTTCCACCAGGCACCACAGTCTCTCCCTGCCTGGCCTTGGCGTCAAGTTCGGCTCTATCCTGTCCCGATGCCATTTTTCGAACTGATTTCTTCACCACGGAAACCAACAAAGTTCTCTGTATAACAGACTATAACGAAAAGAAACGAACACGATTTCTTGTGTTTAATTAGACACTCGTTGTGATGGTGGTGGAAGTAAGCAAAAAAAAAAAAAAAACAAACAGTACTTATAAGAGAAGGTGCTAATGAGCGGCGAACTCTGAAACAGACACGTAATGATAAACGCGGCAAAGGAAGGAGAAGTAAGATATTGAACGATGACACGCAGAGCGTCAAGAAGATAGACGAAAGATAATGACACACGTCTTCGTTTTGCGTGTAAAAAGAACAGTTCCAAGGGTTGTTTCTGAGTTACACGTACCTTTCAGCTTATGGACTTAGTTTACAACGCCACCGAACAGATTCCACAGTGGAGAACACCATTGAAATCCTACGAAGTAGATGAAAGAATTTAGACTTTGGAGGTATGATGGGTCCATATATCCAAATCCAAGTACCGTAGCGAGATAGAAATTAAACCAGCCAAGGCGACGATTTCCATTCTTTCAAACTGTTACGAACTCGTTTGAAATTTAAAAACTACTAATTATATGAATTAAACGAAAGTAAGGAAGAAGCTTAGAGAAGAAAATTTCTAAAATTACGTTCTGCACCTCAGGACTCTCCATTCTGCAGTATCGATCGAGTACCACGCGCCTTCACTAGTTTAGGTGGAAAAGAATGACATTTTATCATTTAGAACTAATTATATACACCCACTATATAATTAAACTTGACAAAAAAATGTTGGATTTGTTATACATTGAGGCAGCTGGCGAGAGACAAATCGGCTATGTTATCATCTTAAGTCTGATATCTTTTTCGTCAAATAATAAAGTGGCACTGTAATTTTTATTTACCCTCCGAACCACCTAGAGTATTTATTATAAACATCTTGATTTAATGGCAAGTTTTGTGTCCTTAGTACCCCAACAAAATGACAAATTGTTTGAAAATTAAGAGTTGTTCAACATATGAACCACGCCAAAGTTTATAATACTCCAATTTGACAATTGACATACCTTCTTCTACCCATAAAAAAAAAAAAAAAAAAAAAAAAACACCTTCGTGTCAGATGTTTTGCTTTTTTATGAACAGTTTCTGGTCAGGTTTGGTGCAGTTTCCAAAACATCTGTATCAGACATTGTGGCTCCTCTGACCTCTGTTTGGCCATTTCTTAACACTTAGAATCATTTCAGCAGTTATCAAATGGCCCCTTGGCCCACTTGATAGTTGAGATGGTCTCTAGCAGCACTCTCAAAGTAGATAACTGTATGCACGCTCCATGAGACACAGAATGGACTCCCCAGCCCATCCCTCCCGTGAATTGGGATCCCCATGCACGAGGAGTGTGGAGCCCATCCAAAAGTTTTGATGGGGGAGATGTTCTCAATTTACGAGAGGGGTCATTACCAAAAAAAAGAACGAGAGATGTGGGCTAAGGGGCGCGTCCAGAGTCCAGACCATGAGGCTTTGATTGGTTATGATGTTTATAATTTAAGTTTATTGGTCAGTTGTTTTTCGGATGTTATATGTTATAGTCGAACCCTTTCGTAAGTATCAAATATGGATTGACGTCTTAACCCAACTCAAAATAGTTACACATGAAAAAAAAATCTATGATACTTGATACTGAAAGAGCTTTGACCAATTAAAATTGAACTCAGATTTCCTGCATTCTATTTGGTGTGGGAAGTTGTACACTTTCAATCAAATTCAACTAAGTCCCACTCTAAATCTTTTCATCTCACACGTGCATATTAGGTTTAAAGGTAAGATTTGGGGCGTTAGTCTCTAAATTCAATTTTTGATATCTAAAAAAATAAGAAAAAATAGAAAAATTAAGAAATTTTACTGTTTAGTCGAATTAGGGAAAAGGCTAAACAAAAAAAAAGGGAAACTTGAACCTTTTCAAACCCTAATGTGTAGACACCAATAACAACCAATTTAAAAATATTTTTACAAGAGGCTCAATCGAAGAACCGAAATCCTTTGATAAGAAACATTGAATAGTGTTTCTTCACTTGAGTGGTTGTTCAAGACTCCAACGAGTGGTTGTTTTTACAATGTTGGTGAAATCAAATGATTGAGAAATATGCAAATCTCTTGTTAATGGCTCCCAAAAAAGAAAATAAACCAGTAAAGAAGAAATACTGTTTCTTGCAAAAAGATTTTCGTCCTCGTTCCTGGGTTAATTAAGTTTCCTACAAAACGATTTCTGGTTGATAATGGCGTCCAAAGAAGAAAATAGACTAGTGAAGAAGAAATACTGTTTCTTGCAAAAATATTTTTGCCCCTTTTCTTGGCTTAAGTCTCTTGAAAAATGATTTCCGATTGTTAGTGGCGCCCAAAGAAGAAAATGAACCAGTGAAGAAGAAACATTGTATCTGGCAAAAAGATTTTCGCCCCTGTTCCTAGGTTGAGTTTCTTGCAAAACAATTACTGGTTGTTAATGGTGCCCAAAGAAGAAAATGAACCAGTGAAGAAGAAACAATACTGTTTCTGGCAAAAAGATTTCTACCCCTGTTCTTGGGTTAAGTTTCTTACAAAACGATTTCTGGTTGTTAATGGCGTCCAAAGAAAAAAATGAACCAGTGAAGAAGAAACAATGTTTTTGGCAAAAAGATTTTTGCCCCTATTCTTGGGTTCAGTTTCTTGTAAAACGATTTCCAGTCGTTAATGATGCCCAAAGAAGAAGAAACAAAGATTTCCACCCCTATTCCTGGGTTAAGTTTCTTACAAAGCAATTTCCAGTTGTTAATGGCACTCAAAGAAGAAAATGAACTAGTGAAGAAGAAATACTGTTTTTGGCAAAAATATTTCTGCCCAGTTCTTGGATTAAGTTTCTTGCAAAACGATTTCCATTTGTTAATGGCGCCCAAAGAAGAAAACAAACGAAGAAGAAAGAAACAGAGCAAAAAGATTTCCACCCCAATTCTGAGGTTGAGTTTTTTGCAAAAATGATTTCTTCTTGCTAATAGCATTTGCACATCTAGGGTTTGGGCAAGCAAGCACTGGGTTGAGTTTTCTTATTTTGTTTAACGTGTCTCTTGATTCAATTGGACAATAAGTTTTCTTTTTTTTTTTCATCTTTATTTAAAAACAATCTAAATTAAACATAATTTGCACATGTGAGATAGAAAGACATGTGGAGTGGAACATGATTGAATTTCATTGGAAGTATACCACATCCCACACCAAACAAAAGTTCATTAAAAGGTACACTTTTTAAATTTTGATGAATACTACCTCGTCACCTCTTAAGGCATCGGTTTGAAGGGTTTAAAGGAAAACGTAGGGAAAGATAGGAAAACCTTTACAGTCCTTGTCTAGCTTTCTCTAAATTTCCCTGTCTCTTCTTACCTTTTCTTTCAAACCTAACATAGCCTTTGTGATTAAAACTGAAGGAGTGAAGGGTGTGTTAAGACGGGAAAGGAAGGAAACATGGGGAAATTTCCCTTTCTTTCCCTACCTTTTCCTTCAAACCAAACATAACCTAACAGGACTTGACGGATTTTAATTTTTAAGTGAATAGGAGAAAGGTAGAGCTGGGCCTAGATTAGGGTCGAAGGATTTTAGGTTGGGTCGTTGGTCGTTGCGTGTACAGAACCTTATTGCGTCCCAACTAAGTCCGACTTGCACCCCTAATTCTCCCCATTAAAGTTTGGATCGCTTCCAATCAATTTGTGACGATGCCTATTATCCAATTATATCCCCTACCTTCACATGTGTTATTCAATGTCTATTATCCTATATCATTAGTGAGTGATATGTCTACTTTTAAGATGGATGTGTGATATTCATAATATATATAATACGATTGGGATGCTCTTTTCATGCAGCAAATGGAATTTATTCGTGCGAGTAGATTTACAGGTAAGAGCATTTTAGTAATTACTGTTATATAAATAACAGTAATTATTTTTATTAATTAATGTAATTACTGTTATTAAATTATTGTTTTTAATAATTATAACAGTAATTTAATAAATATATAATTAGTGATTATAATTAATAATTATTGTTATTATAAATATTATTAATAATTAGATATTTACTTTAAAATTATAAATACTGTTATTAAAAATATTGTTAATTAATTTCTGATTATTACAGTAATTTAATAAATATATAATTAGTGATTATAATTAATAATTACTATTATTATTATAAATATTGTTAATAAATAGATATTTATTTTAATTTTACTTTAAATTAAAATTATATATATATTGGTATTAATAAATACTGTTAATAAATTTAGTAATTATTGTTGTAATTAGTGATTTATTACAGTAATTAAATAAATATATAACTAGTGATTATAATTAATAATTACTGTTATTATAAATATTGTTAATAAATAGATATTTACTTTAAATTAAAATTATAAATATTGTTATTAATAAATATTGTTAATAAATTTAGTAATTATTTTTATATTAAAATAATTAAAAATGTTATTAAAAGTATTGTTATTGATTGTTTAATAAAATATTATAATTACTACTACTGATAAATACTGTTAATTTAATTTAATTTTGGTAATTATTAATTTAATGAATATTGTTAACAAATCCTATTCATAAATTTAATATTTACTGTTATATTAAAAATAACTAAATAGTATTATCAAAACTATCATTAATGATTATTTAATTAAATAGTATAATTACTTATTATTATTGATAAATATTGTTAATAACGTTCTGATAACCGACGGTTCAAACGTCTAGTTCGAACGGATGGCCCGTTTTGACAACAAAAATTACAAGCAAAAAATTACGAAACCATTTTGGCCACCGGTTTTTGGGTCGACAATTCAATTATCTAGTTCGAATGGACAATTCATTATGATAACAAAAATTATAGGCAAAAAATTGAGTTTGTGAGCTCCATTAAATAGTATCATATGTGTTATGTCATTCGAGCGTGTGACTCATACGACTCGAAAATGAAACCGTTCTAGACACTGGTTTTTGGGTCGACGGTTTGACTGTTTGGTTCGAACAGATGGCCCATTCTAACAACAAAAAATTATGGAACCATTATGGCCACTGGTTCTTTTGTTGATGGTTCGACTGTCCGGTTCGAACAAACAACCCATT